TATTTTAGCTGCCCTGATTGCACTCTCATACTTCCTATTGCATTCCTTGTAGTGTTGGAATACCAGCAATGTCCCCTCTGTCTTATATTTTTTAAAGGCCATGTCTTTTTTACTTTAAGGTTTAGCCACCCAGGTATAACTTTTGCTCTTTTGTATTTATTGTCCATTGGAATGCATTGGATAATACCTTTATTTAATATGTTCCAAAAGTATTCCCATTTTTCCTCAGTGTTCAATGTTTTTAGGATTTGGTCCCATTTAATATCCTGTAGTATTGAGTGTAGTTTAGAAAAGTTATATTAGCATGCATAGAAAAGAGAATTTACTCAAGAGATAACTATGTACTGTATACTGGATTGTAGGGTTGATTTGCTGGTTCTGCAGATTTCAATACATACATGACTTTCTGGGAACTACAGAAAAGATAGTTTACATTAGAGTTAATAGCTATTTCTTATTTTTTTTTAATCTCCAGAGTCATGTGACTTTAGAAACCTATTCTGCAATAGAAAGCTTTGTCAGTGGTAAAACATGACATACTATATTCAAAAAGCTGCAGTCATGGCTGTCAACAGTTGGGGGTGCTCAATGATTTAATAACATACATAACCTATAACAATATAATGAATACAGCTACATGATGAAGGAATATTGATAGAGGACAAGGATATCACAAAATTCAACAAAGTAGAAATAAACATAAAAGTAGACATAGATTTTTACTTGTTAAAAAAAAAAAAAAGTAGACATGCAGTGTATTTAATAAAATTTTATTTGCTACAAATTATTTTTGCACTCATGACATATATATATATATATATATATATATATATATATTTCAGGTACTTATGTAGCTCCATCAATTTACACAGCGCTTTACATATATATTGTACATTCACATCAGTCCCTCACCCTCAAGGGGCAACATACCCAGCATCCAGTTCCTGCTTCACAATGCTACACGGTGGTTGTACAGCTCTTTCTGCCATGAAACTCTATGGAGTTGATTTACTGAAGTTGTAGAGCATATTCACTTAGCCAAGTAACTGAGGTGAAAATTCACTTTGAAAAGAATACTCAGTCAAATGCAAGGAAATGTAAAAAACTTATTTTTGCTGGCACATGATTGAATGATAGAAGTTGACAGAGCCTCCCCTCATTCATTAAGCTAATGGAAAATTCTTATTGCAAAGTGAAATTTCACACATTTTGGGGATCACCTAGGCACAACGTGATGAGTTAGCCGCAGGATGCTATACAGGTGTAGGACCATTGCCCATCCACTGCTGGGAGGCCAAAGATCTGGATGGGGTTTGCCGCTACCATTCTACATCTGCTGGAACCGAAATACATCACTTTAGGTTAGGGCTGTGGCTCTATCTGGGAGCCCAGAGTTCTGTCATCGTGGTCCTTTTGGGGTTACCAATGGGAAGCCAGACTGTGCCTTTTTTTAGCATCAGAAGTAGCCTTTTTTCTTATCTGTATCCAGCACAAGTCCAGGCCACCTGTGCATCTGCACTACGTTTATAGCATAGGGACTTAATGTGAAGGTCAGCTGATGCATCCATTTTCTGCCTCCATTTTCTGCCTCCTCCTAGCCACACAGCACAGTGATCCTTGGAAAATCTGCGCCCCCTGTGCCTACAGTGACTGGTCACACAAGGCATAATTCTTTGCCACAGGTCAAAAGTACACCTGCTGGGTTATTTCTCACTACACGTGTTGGATCAAAGACACAAAGGGCACATCCATATCATATCATATCACATCACATCACGAGAAGTAAGAGTACCCTCTTACCCCAGAAGAAGAAGGCAAAAGCTACTGCAGGCAAACCTATGGTTCCTGAGACTAAGAGGAGTTTCTATTGTTTATCTCAGGCCTCTAGGTCTATGTCCAAGCCCTGTTCACATTTTCACGACTAGACAAAGCCTCTAAAGCCTGCCATTTTGGAAACAAGCCCTCCTCACAATGAGGGGTGCTCCCACTTCTCAGAATAGGGGGACTCTTGTTGGAATTTGTGGTAATTTAGGCAGAGACTATGGCACTGTGCAACCAAGATCCAGTCGGATAATTCTGCAGCAGTGGCTTAAATCAATCAGCAAGGGAACACAAAAGATAAACTCAAAGTGAAGTGAACATCATTCTAGCTTGGGTACAACTCTACGTCCTGGCCCTGTCTGGAGTGCACATTCCAGGTATGGAAAATTTTCACAGAATCAAGAGTTAGGGTGTTATGATGAACCTCATTGCACCAAACAGGCCCAGAAGGACGTTGTATTCAGACATACACAGACTCCTGGCAGACTCTCCATTGGCCCTCCCAAATTGTCTTCTGTCGCAGGGGTCAGTCCATCATCCTGAGTTTTGGTTTAATGGCCTGGTTGCTGAAGCCCAGGCCCTGGGGACAGAAAGCTATCGGGTTCAGTCATCTCAAGGCTCCTAAAAGCAAGGAAATTGACTTCTCACAAAGTCTAGCATCACATCTTGAAGGCTTACATTGCATGGTGTGCGGCTAGATAATTCCATCCCAGTAAGTAATCAGTGGAGCGAATTCTATCTTTTCTCCAGTTTAGTCTGGATCTGCATATGGCCTTAAAGCGATACTAAAGGATTTTTATTTCCCTAAAATAAAAAAAATGTTATACTTATGGTATTGCACAGAGCAGTCCTGAACTTTCTCTTCTTGGGTCCCCTACCGGTGCTCCAGGCTTCTTCTCTTCGGTGTGTGCCACCATAGCATGCTGCCTGCTATTGGGGCACATGTGAAGGCTTCTTCCTAAGCCAGGCTGTGTGCATCCATAGACAAACACAGTGCAGCTTAGCCCCACAGCCGCTGATCAGCCCCACAGCCACTCCCTCCTCACAGGATTTAATTGACAGCAACAGGAGCAAATGGTTCCCGCTGCTGCCTCTGTGTCCTGTGAGGAAAGTAACAGAGACTGGCAGTGGTGCAGATGGGCACAGCACTGGATGGAGATAGGACTCGTTACAAATACTGGGACATTTTTTACCTTAATATAGGGAATGCATTAAGGTAAACAAATGTTCTGCCATTAAAACCACTTTATGTACCATCAGAGGTTAAATTTCATCTTTAGCCATTCTTTTCCAGAGACTACTTGCTCTTACTCATTGGTGAACTCAGATCAGCAGATCGCTGGTGACATGCAGGTCTCCTGCAGATCTGTCAGTATACTTGCTTGCCCATACAGGATGTATGACCAAGAAGATATACTGACAGGAAGACTCAATAAACTACCACAGTGCTCCACATTTCCATGGTAGTTAATTGAGAACTACAAGCCGACAGCCTCTAAGGACTCATTCATTCACAAAACACTGTGAATGAATGTCGCGGCCATGTGGGCAGAACCCTGCACAGCCGTGCTGTTTTTAAAAAATGACAGCTAGTACGGGGAACTTCTCTTCTGTCACAAGGGGGATGGGAGGGGCAGCGAGCAGCGTCTGCAACATTGGGAACATGTTACATACTCCACCCTAATAACATGTTCCCAAAGGTGAGCTTATCCTTTAAGCACCCGCTGCCGGCACATCTGGCTTTTTCCAGCTACAGGACACCCTGCTGTCTGTGCTCTCCATGGAGATCAACCTCTTTTCCTATCCCCTTTGGGATTACAGGAACTCATAGTTTAAATAAGCAGACATGCTGACTGCTTTACACTCTGTTGATTCAACAAAACAACACACACAAACAAAAAATAATATTTCTGCCCTCTGCTACACGAGGGGTTATGCTAGGGCTGTCCTTACAGCTTTGTTCACCGTTGTCCATGCACCTATAAGTAGCTGCATAACCCATGGTCTAAGACTAAAGCTGGGTATAACTTCTGCCGGTTCAGCAGGAATCAGGCAAATTTCGGTGCATGTGCAGCTTTTGAACAGGAGCCAGTCCAATGATCCAGCATATGATCAGCACTTGCAACCATTGGCTGCAGGGCTGATCTGTGTATTCTGATGGTGGGAGGGAGTCCTCGTGGTCAGAATACAATAGCACAGCACGTGAGATCCCTACATCTACATCGCTTGTGTGAATGCGGGGATCTGTGATATTTATTTATTTTATTTTTTTTAAAACAACACTCCATGTATACCCTGACTCACACGGCTGCATCATTCATTCACAGACGTCCGCGAATAAATGAACTGCAAGTCCCAACAGCCTTAGCGGCTGTCAGCTTGTAGTTTTCAGTGAACTACCACGGCGTTGTGGAGCACCGTGGTAGTTCATTGAAACTTCCTCTCAGAATATCTGCTTGACCATACATCCCTTACAGCAAGCAGATATTGTGACAGGTCTGCAGGAGACCTGCAAGGCATTAGCGATCTACTGATCGCTGGTGCAATGCTTTCCAGGCTCCTGTAGACAAAAATAATAAATGCATATTTTTTTACCTGCAAAAAAATGTGCATTTATTATATTTGTCTAAAAGGTGAACCTATCTTTTAAGATCCTGAGTCCCGTAATGTACTCTAGGTAAGTCAAAAATCCTATTTCTTTAAGTACTTGCAGGGTCTTTGAAGGGATAAAATCTAGGGAAATGTGCATGTATCACAGAAATGTACTGCACATTTGTAAAAAAAATTTGCCCTGACTTTAATATTTTTCTGCAGCTTCATTCCTCTCTCAAGATTGTGTTAATATCTGTTTTTGCCTGTAAGGCTCGGTACACACTAGTGCGGATGGAAGCTGATGTGGCACCCATACTTCATCCTGCAGCTGTAACCACCAGCACACAAAATGCGGGACCTGCGGACAAGTGCCATTATTCTAAACTGGAAATCGCACCCACACTGGGAATTGTACTGTAGTGCCATTCCCAGTGCAAGCTGCAATTACTAGAAAGGTGCAGGGACCTTTTCCTTGCATTTTGTGAAGCCCAGCAGCCCATTCAAATCAATGGGCTGCCACGCCGCGGCCCGCAAAGTGGCACTAGTGTAAATGTAGATTTCTATATAAATAGAATAAAGATAGGTGCAGGGGCGGACTGACCATTTGGAAACTCAGGCACTGCCCGAGGGCCCGGGGTCAGTAGGGGGCCCCATGAGATGCCCCTGGTACCTTTTTCATAGGCTTTTTTGAGTTTGGGCAAGGACACAGGGGCCCCATGATCCCCTATTGCCTGGGGGCCCCATGAGTTGTCAGTCCACCCCTGGATAGGTGCTAAGTAATGAAAGTCTTTCTCTGGTTATAATGTTAACCCTTCCAGTCTACTGAGAGGATTATTATCATTTACCGACACAACCCCTTTATATGTTAAACTTGTGGGAACATCACATTGTTTTCTGATTCTTCACCATATTCTGTGAAGCAGCAAGGAAAATGACTCAGTAATGAGTAATACAGTTGCTTCCGTCTTAGCACTGACATTATAGAGAAGTAGTATCGTTAGTGGCATATTAATAGGCATTAATGAACATAATGGGGAACATGCTTTTTTACCATATATAGGGACATCCCTTCTTTTTGTGTGTATATGTGGTTTCCATAATCTCTGATACGCATCAATTTATACATGGTTTTGAGTACTATATTTATGCTTTCTCCATTTGGCACATAAAGTTTTTGTTCATTGATTATGCAGATGCATTAATGGTGCAAATGCATTATTAACCTACAACGCTGCATGATATACTGTATGTTTCTTTCCTTTTAATCTTTCTTCTCAATGGGCCTGTTTCATGTGCATCAATGTCCAAGAAGTGGCATGTCCTATATTTTAAAATGTATTAATCTACATTGCATAGACATGGATTAAACCCAAAGAAATAAAGAAAGAAAATTTCTGTTTGAAATGCATTTGGTAAAATAGATGCAGATTACTGCAGGAAAAAGCACAAGTATGAATGGATCTGTAGTTTCAGTTTGTATTTTCCTTTTGTATATATAGGAAACCCATGATAATTAAGAAAATACTAGAGTACTAGAATTGGGAAATGTTAGGTCTAATCATAACACCTTAAAGCACAGCTCCACGCAAAAGGGGAAGTTCTGCTTTAAGGCCTTGTTCCCCGCTCCCAGTTAAGGATTGGCACCTTTGGGGAGAGGGTACGTGCCAAAATCGGGTACCCGATCCCCAAAGGTGCCAATCCTTAACTGGGAGCTGGGGACAAGGCCTTAAAGCGAAACTTCCCACTTCCACTGCGATTGCCTAGTTGACCGGAAGCAGACGTTCTCCTCCCCCTCACAGTCTTCTGAGACACGTGATGGGTCCCAGAACACTTTGGGACCACTCACAATGCGTAGTGCTGCTCACGCAGTGGACACCAAGCTGTGAAGCCGCATGCGGTCATAGCCGGGTGCCCACACATAAGATGCCGACGCCAGGGACACAGGATGGCCGGTGAACCCGGCTGCGGTGAAGTCACCGCTGGATCCTGGGACAATGTCTGTTTTTCAAAAGTCAGTTGCGACAGTTTTTGTAGCTGCTGTCTTTTAATTTTTTCACCAAAGACTGGAGCTGCACTTTAAAGTGCAGTGTAAAGGCAATCTTTTTAATGTTTTGGATAGAGTGGGGGAGGGTTTAACCAGAGATTGGCAACCTAAGTCACGTGTATAAGAGTGGGCACACAATGTTATTTTCACCTGAAAGATGGTTGTGTCATGCATTGAACCTCAGACTGGCCTCCAATGTACCGGAAAATTATTTTATGTTGGTCCTTGCTACCTACAAATACAGTTGTGCTTCCATAGGCTTCAACAGAAAGCTCATTAGGCTATTTCGTACATAGCCTGGCCTGCTCCTTTGTGCCCCCAGTCCACACACCTCCATGATGTTTCAGAGAGACCAACCTGATAATCAGATGCTCGCTGTCCTGCCAGTAACAGATTTGGCTTGCCTGTGGCTGCGGACTTGGTTACTTGAAGAAGGCCACCAGCCTACCTTCTTCTTCCTCTTACATGTAAAATCCCTGCATTAATGATGCAGTAATTGGGACTAATCTCAGGTTTAAAGGGGATGGTTTTGGGACTGATCTGAGGCCTGAAGGTACAGGAATTGTGGTTGGTCTGAGGTCTGAAGGTACAGGAACTGGGTATGTTGTGAGGAAGGAAGGTGCAGGAATTGGGGCTGATACGAGGTCAGAAAGTACAAGAATTGTAACTGATTTGAGGTCTGAAAATGCAGGAAGTGGGGCTGCACTAAGGTCTGAAGGTGCAGACATTGGGGCTGATCTGAAGTCTGAAGGTGCAGATATTGGGGTTGATATGAAATCGGAAGCTGCAGGAATTGTACCTGATCTGAGGTTTGAATGTACAGGAATTGGGGTTGATCTGAGTTCTAAGGGTGCAGTAACTGTAACTGATCTGAGGTCTGAGAATGCAAGAAGTGGGGCTGTTCTGAGGTCTGAGGGTGCAGTAATTGTAGCTGATCTGAGGTCTGGAAGTACAGACAAGGGGGCTGGTCTGAGGGTGCTGTAATTCTAGCTGATCTGAGGTCTGAGAGTACAAGAAATGGGTCTGTTCTGAGGTCTGAGGGTGCAGTAATTCTAGCTGATCTGAGGTCTGGGAGTGCAGAACATGGGGCTGTTCTGAGGTCTGAAGCTGTAGGAATTAGAACTGATGTGAGGTCTAAAGTTGCAAAAAGTGGGGATGATCTGAGGTCTATGGTGCACTGGCATACCAGTTGTCTAATACTTATGAACAGGGGTGGACTGACAACTCATGGGGCCCCCGGGCAATGGGGGATCATGGGGCCCCTGTGTCCTTGCCCAAACTCAAAAAAGTCTATGAAAAAGTTACAAGGGGCATCTCATGGGGCCCCCTACTGACCCCGGGCCCTTGACACTGCCCGAGTTTCCAAATGGTCAGTCCGCCCCTGCTTATGAACTAACACTTGTAATGTAGAAACAGTTGCTGACCCCTGGGTTAGACCCTCTGCCAAATTTGCATTACAGTCTGTATTCCATCTATCCAGATGTAAAAAAAGGGCTATAAATACTGTACATTTAAATACCTATAGTTGTTTAAAATATTTTATGGAAAGATTCACATTGGATGGAAGCCATCCACAGAAAGAGCCACTTGTGACAGCAAACAGCGTGTTGTCAGTGAGGAAACCAAGTCCAATGTTTCCTTGATGCTGGCACCCCTTGTGTTCCTTTTTGTAATTTCAGAGATTTGTTCCTGTTTTCAGGTGGAGCTGCTTACTGAAGTTCAACGCCCCCCCTTCCTGTGGGATTTTTATGAACCCCTTATGAACATTTTATGAACTACCTATGCTGTATAAGTGTATCTTCACATTTATCCAGGAGGTACAGGCTTAGTTATGTGGATGGCATATTAGCATTTGTTTGTGCAATAATTTAATTTGTAATTAGACAATTTAACCTCTTTTAATTATTAGGAGAAGTGTATACTGTATGAGTTGTATGAATAAGACAGCCTCATACTGCTACTGGTAATACCAGGAGGAATTACCAGCCATATGTACAAATACAGGGCAAAAGAGGTATATGAATTCACACTATTTTCTTTGAAAAGTAAATTCTCAGAATTCGTTTGGTTAAAAAACAAGTATATGACTAACGTTTGTAAGAGAGGTAGGACCACACTTGGCACATCACTGTGGTTTCAAATATATTTGCAAATGTATGCAACAGAACCTGTTTTCAACACAAATTGTGACGCGGTTTAGACTTTTTTTATTGGCTGGCTAGTAAGTAAGAATTCCTTTGCAGTGTATTGTTCTGTGAACTGCATCTTACATTGAGAGCTAGCTATACATTACTTAGAGTAAATGCTATTTTTACTTTGCTTGTTGGATTTGGTGCAGATACGCGCTGGATGTCCTTAACTGCCTTTGAGCGAGTTTGGGCTTCTAGTATGTCAAACAACAAAAAAGAAAAGAGAAAAATTCCCAGCTTAACTTACCTACCAGCCTGCAACCAACCAAATTGTCCTGTCTAACAGTTTGCATTAAAAACAGGGGTTTAGTTTGCACACATTTGCACCCAGGGGTGCACTGGACACTCAGCATATAGCACAATGGCAGCTAAGGTGTCCAGTGTGCCCCTCATCAATATATCAACATACAAACAAATGCACCCCTGTGCCTTTTACAGAGGGGTGGGCTCCCTCCAGGCTAACCTGTCCTTAGTCTATCCATTATTATGCATGTGCTTCTACTATGGAGGCTCTCAAAATTAGAGTTAGGACTGCAGAAAATAATGGGGTACTGTGAATAGGCTCTGCAGCTTACACATGTATTTGCAAATGTGTGCAAACTAGACCCCTGTTTTTCATGCAAGCTCTTAGGTAGGACAATTTGGCTGGTTACAGGCAGATTGGTAAGTTGAGCTGGGAATTTTTCTTTTTCGTTGTTTGACATCTGTTGCCCTTCCATATGCTCTTTCCTGCAAAGGCCAGTTATAGATTGGGGCAGTTGCCATTTGTTTGGGCTTCTAGTATGTCCCTGTTGGGCCTGTTCACAGCTATTGCAATGCAGGAAATGAATGTTTCCCTGAGTGTTTTGTTAGATGCACAAGTGCAATTAATTGTAACTGGCACCCCAAATGCTTCCAAATGCTTCTAGCAAATGTGCATGGTACCACTGTTTGGTACAGAAAGATTTTAAAAGTTGCACCTGCCATACGTTTTGCATGTTTCTGTGTGTTTGGCAGCACATTGAAATGAATGGGATGAAAAAATGTTGAGAGAGAATGCACAGAAGCCAGCTCGTGAATACATGTGTTGTGGTGTGGATTGGCCTTTAAAGTGGAACTAAACCTAACTTTTAAAAAAATCTGCAAGAAGGCAGATCTTGCTGCCACATACCAGGGCTCTTGTGCAATAATAAACACTTACCTGCCTTCTTGCAGTTTTTTATTGAACACAAACTGAGCTGCACTTGCGCAGAACAGTGTTCATTTCCACCACACCGGATAGCGTATGTACTCTCCAGCGCCTCAGGATATGCACAGCCAAAAGGGAAGCCAAGGGTACCAGGACAGCGACAACCAAAAGGAAATGTTCCAGGGGTGCAGCCCTCCTCAGACGGGGAAATCAGCCACTGGATAGAGAGAAAACACAGGTGGCGCACACACCTAGTGCATTATCCAAGGTTTATTGTAGGAATTAAATCATAAAAACATACTCACAGACGAAGCATGTATCTAAAAAGCATAGAAAAATGACAATGGCCACAACGGCGGGCAAGGTGTTCTCACAGTCAGTGCGGTCAAATGGCTGACGCGTTTCGGGGACGAATCCCTTTCCTCAGAGCTGGCAGGCATCAACAGCGAGGCTCTTACTTTACTTTCCATTCGTCGTGCATCAGCATCAGAGGTTGGTCATCAGCTCTGAGGAAAGGGATTCGTCCCCAAAACGCGTCAGCCATTTGACCGCACTGACTGTGAGAACACCTTGCCCGCCGTTGTGGCCATTGTCATTTTTCTATGCTTTTTAGATACATGCTTCGTCTGTGAGTATGTTTTTATGATTTAATTCCTACAATAAACCTTGGATAATGCACTAGGTGTGTGTGCGCCACCTGTGTTTTCTCTCTTCATTTCCACCACACTCCATCTGTACTGCAATGACTGGCTCCTATGTGAATGCATGGGATTACCCCATTCTCCGCTGGCCAGTCAAGAGGCTGAAAACTGGGAAAAGATGACAGTGGCCAGTGATGGATGTAACCACCGTTTCTCTGGTATGAGTGTATAGGGGAGTTTAGTTCCACTTTAAGAAGGATGGGGCTACCCCTAGTCATAACTACTTGCAGTTTATTCATATCTATAGATCTCTTAAGTTTGGAGCTCTTTTAGGCGAACGTAATGGACCACACTTTCCAGATGTGTCTTGGTGCTTCAGTGTGACTCTACAATTACACTGCTCAAAAAAATTAAAGTAACACTTTTAAATCAGATTATAGCATCAAGTCATTTAAACTCCTGGGATATTGATCTGGTTAGTTAAGTAGCAGAGGGGGTTGTTAATCAGTTTCAGCTGCTTTGGTGTTAATGAAATTAACAACAGGTGCACTAGATGGGCAACAATGAGACGACACCCAAAACAGGAATGGTTTTAAAGGTGGAAGCCACTGACATTTTTTCCTACTCATCTTTTCTGACTGTTTTTCACTAGTTTTGCATTTGGCTAGGGTCAGTGTCACTACTGGTAGCATGAGGCAATACCTTGACCCTACAGAGGATGCACAGACAGTCCAACTCCTCCAGGATGGCACATCAATGCATGCAATTGCCATTGTGTCTCTCAGCACAGTCTCAAGAGCATGGAGGAGATTCCAGGAGATCAGCAGTAACTCTAGGAGAGCTGGACAGGGACATAGAAGGTCCTTAGCCCATCAGCAGGACCGGTATCTGCTCCTTTGTGCAAGGAGGAACAGAATGAGCACTGCCAGAGCCCTACAAAATGACCTCCAGCAGGCCACTGGTGTGAATGTCTCTGACCAAATAATCAGAAACAGACTTCATGAGGGTGGCCTGAGGGCCCAACATTCTCTAGTGGGTCCTGTGCTCACTGCCCGACACCACAGAGCATTTGCCATTGAACAGGGTTAGGGACTGATGTGAATGTACAATATATATGTAAAGCGCTGCATAAATTGATGGCACTATATAAGTACCTGAAATAAATAAATAAACACCAGAATTGGCAGGTCCGCCACTGGCACCCTGTGCTTTTCACAGATGAGTGCAGGTTCACCCTGAGCACATGTGACAGACATAAAAGTGTCTGGAAAAGCCATGGAGAACATTATGCTGCCTGTAACATCATTCAGCATGACCATTTTGGTGGTGGGTCTGTGGAGGCATATCCATGGAGGGTAAATCAGAGCCTGGGATTGAGCCTGGGCCTTCTGCGGTGAGAGGCAATGTTTCTTCTCACTGAGCCACCTGGAATGCTGGACAGCTCCCTTGACAATTCCTTGGATGATCCTACCTTGGCCCTGTTTGTTTTGAACCTTGAACTCCTTGCTCCTCCCATGAACTTCCTATAAAAGCCATGTCCGTGCACTTCCTCCTTGCCAGATTATTGTGCCTTCCCAGCCAATATCCCGCTTATCGTTCCTGCTGCTGTCTACATCTTCGTTACTGACCTTTGGCTTGGTACTGACTACAATTTTTCCTCATCCTAATCTACTACCATTTGTGACCGACCCTTGGCTTGTGACTGACTCTGCTTCCATTTGATCCCTAAACTGTTTGATCCGCTATTGGTTTCCAGCTTGCTCATTCCCTGGTGGGGTGAACCTGAGATCTGCGACCTGGTATTAACACGCAGCCAAATCCATCTCCACCATTAGGAGCTCTGGTGAAAACCGGTTAATACTTAGACCCCGCACCTCAGGTGAGCCTGCGTCATTCCCAGGGGGACCCGCTGGTGTACCTATCCTGCTGGTTTCAGGTAAGCCTTACACTGCTGTAGCAACTGGTCTCTGAACCTGACCCAGACCGTGACAGAGGGACAGACCCCTACAAGCTAGAAAATGGCACCCTTAATTCTATTAGGTATCGGGATTAAATCCTTGGGCCCATTATCAGACCCCACACTGGTGCAGTGGGTCTGGGGTTCCTCCTGGTGCACGACAATGCCCGGCCTCATGTGGCGAGAGTATGCAGGCAGTTCCAGGAGGATGAAGAAATTGATACCATTGAATGGCCCCCACGCTCGCTTGACCTAAATCCAATAGAACACCTCTGGGATATCATGTTTCGGTCCATCCGACACTGCCAGGCTGCACCTCAGACTGTCCAGGAGCTCAGTGATGCCCTGGTCCAGATCTGGGAGGAAATACCCCATGACACCATCCGTCGTCTCATTAGGAGTATGCCCCGACGTTGTCAGGCATGCATACGAGCACGTGGGGGCCATACAAACTATTTAGTACCATTTTGAGTTGCTGCAATGAAATTTCAGCAAAATGGACTAGCCTACTGCATCATTCTTTCACTTTGATTTTCAGGGTTTTTTCTAATTCAGT